CTGGAGCCTGTTTTAGTCTGTGACTCCCTCTCTCTCTGACTCTCCCCTGCTCACGCTGTCTTTCTCTTTCTCTCCTAGAAATAAATAAAAATCTTTAAAAAAAAAATAAAAAAATGCGTAATTTATTATGTATGATACTATGTTAATAGCTACTTTGCTACATGTTTACTTTTTTACTCTTTGAAAATTTTTATGCCCCTGTGTAGCAACAAGTGTTATAAAAGCTTTACATGTATTAACTGAGCTACCCCATGAGGTAAGTACCTTTCTTATCAACCCCATTTACAAGTGGGGAAACTGACCATAGAGCAATCATTTATCCATGATTACAGGCAGGAAGTGGTAGAACCAGGATTTGGACCCTCGGCAGTTCCACTCCAGAGACATACTCTTTCTCTTATTGCACCCCCTCCTTCCCCAGCCCCCAGGTGGTCATTCCCTGGTTTTCTGCACACCTTCCTGACTTCTTTCCCCTGGCCTGGCGCTGCGAAGCCGGCATTGTGGACCAGGTGGGGGATCAAGCGCACTTCCGGTCTCGGCATTGATGATGCGTTGGCTTTTGCAGGCATAAAAATGGAGAAGTTGGGGATCATGGTTATCATAATGAAGAGACCAGATTTTCTTTCACTTTCTAAACATTCAATCTAGAAAACTTAAAAACCTGTTGACTAGCTGTAAGAACAGTACATGGAATGCATGTATACTGTTTCCCTGTGCTCACCAACTATTAACATTTTGTCTCTGTCTCTGAACCATTTGAGAATTTGTTCATGTACTTTATGCCTTAGTATTCTGTTTAGCAATCTATCCCTAGAGCAGGGCATCCTCTGTGTAACCACAGTACTGAGACAACACTCAGGAAATCTGTCACTGGTAAAGTACTTTTATCTAATATACAGTGTTATGCACATTTCCCTAGTTCCAATTTTGACCTTTATGTCTATTACTTTTTCCCCTAAAGTCTAGGACTAAATCAAAGATTGTGTTTAGTTTTCATGTTTCTCCTTTAACCTCCCAGGTTTTTTTTTTTTGTTTTTTTTTGTGTGTGTGTCTTTCATGGCATTGACAGTTTTAGAGATTCTAGACTAGCTGCTTTGCAGATGTCCTCAAGTTTGGGATTGTGTGATTGTTTCTACATGTTTAGATTCAGGTTTAAAGTTTTTGTAGGACTATCACATAGTGTGTCCTCAGTGTATTACATTAGGAAGCATATGATGTCATGGTATTGTGTTATTGATGATGGCAAATTTCATCATTTGGGTTTTTAAAAAATATTTGTTTATTTTTGAGAGAGACAGACAGACAGACAGAGCATGAGTGGGGGAAGGGACAGAGAGAGAGGGAGACACAGAATCTGAAGTGGCCTACAGGCTCTGAGCTGTCAGCACAGGGCCTGACGTGGGGCTCGAACTTACCAACCACAAGATCATGACCTGAGCTGAAGTCAGAGGCTGAACCAACTGAGCCATCCAGGTGCTTCTCATCATTTGGTTGAGAATAGTGTTCACCAGATTGCTTCATTAGAGGGTTGCCTTTCTCCTTTTGTATAAGCTTTCTCTGGAATGATATTTTGAGATGCATGAATATCCTGTTTCCCAATAGTTTCCCACCCATTGGTAACCCTTGTTTTTAGTTTGAACCACTATCTCTTAGAGTTTTTGTGAAATACTGATTTTCTGTTGCTTTCCTTCTACATTTCTTAACTGAATTTTCTATAAAGAAGAGCTCCGCCTCCTCTGATAGGCAGAATAATGGTCCCTCTCAAAGATGTCCACCTCCTTATCCCCAGAACCCATGAAAACATTGCCTGACATGGCAACAGAAAATTGAACTTGTAGGTGGAGTTAAGGTTGCTAATCAGCTGATCTTAATCACAAGAGTCCTTTAAAGTAGCAGAAGGAAGCAGAAGAGGAGTCATATTGATGCTGTGTGAGAAGGACCAGACCCATCGTTGCTGGCTTTGAAGGTAGAAGAAGGGGACTATAAGCCAAGGCATGGGAGCAGCCTCTAGAAGCTGGAAAAGGAAAAGAAATGGACCCTACCCAGAGCCTATAGAAGGGAATGCACCCCCCCTCTTGCTTTGATGACATGTGTGTCAGACTTCTGACATACAGAAATTCAGACAACAGATTTGTGCTGGTTAAGCCACCAAGTGCATTGTAGTTGATTATAGCAGCAATGGAGAACCAGTATACCTTCTTACTTTCTTATCAGTGTGGACTCCTGGGTTCTTTTTTTTTTTAAATATATAAGTGAATTTTACTCTCTGTCATAGTTCATTTTTATTTTCAAATTGTCTTAAATTTGGCCATTGAGATCCTTGTGATCCATTGGGATCCGTTGAGAGTCTAATGACATGTTCCCAATCAGTTTTTGAGCACTTTCCTCTCTTTTGGCATAACACGATATTCCAGGCCTATCTTGTGCTTTCCCTCGCCAACCTGGAATCAGAAGACAAACTCTTAAGCAGTGCACTGTACTGTTTCTTAAATCATACTCTGTGCTGGAGTGAAGACATACGACTCTGGAGTGTTTTTCTTGTAGCAGTATTGCAAAGACAACATAATAGTGATTGATCATTGGGAAAACCCTGTAACTGGGCTTTCAAAGTTTGCCACAAGAATGAGAAGTATGGCGCGTCTGGTCTTTTCATTCCCGTCTTCCTGTGTCTGCTTTGCATGGTGTTCTTGCCAGGACTGGGCAAGTAGCAGCAGGGATTTATGGATATTTTCACATAAATTTATAAAAAGATAGGCTTATCTTTGACTGTAAAGGCTGGATTTTGCTCTTGGGTCTGTCCATAAGTTTCTGTATTATACTCATTCAGAAACTGTTCTCTATCCAGTCTTTTCCAAAAAGTTATTCTGTAGAAGCAGCGCTTAGCTGGCTCAGTTGGTGGACATGTGACTCTTGATCTCGGGGTCATGAGTTTGAGCTTCATGTTGGGCATAGGGATTACTTAAGAAAAAAATAATTTGGGGATTCATGTGGGCGGCTCAGTCAGTTGTCTGACTCTTGATTTTGGCTCAGGTCATGATCTCATGGTTTGGGAGATTGAGCTCCATGTTGGGCTCTGCACTGACAGTGTGGAGCCTGCTTGTGACTCGCTCTCCTTCTCTCTCCGCCCCCACTTGGCTCATGCTCTCTCTCTGTCCCTCTCTGTCTCTCCCTCAAAATAAATAAATAAAAACTTTAAAAAAGAAAAAGAAAAAAATTTTTAATTGTTCTATAGAATTCTTAGCAAATTTTTTCAAACACTTTGTGGTGGTGCATAGAAAGAGATGGCATTTAGTGAGCCAGAGTAAATGTTAGTCTTTGGAGATAGTGGAAATCTCACATGATTGCAGACTTTCATCTTAGGGGTCAAAAGCCCAGGATGCATATAGGGCCTGGCAGGTAACGTGAATGAGTGAAGGGACTATGTGGGGACTGTGCTGAACCAGACCGTGTGAACCTGTCCTGACGGGAGCACGTACCCTTCCCGGGCAGACTTGCCCTGGCAGAGTGAGCGAGTCTGTGGTTGCCAGGGTTTTCAAGAGAGCCCAGAAATCAAGACTTTTAAATGAATTCCTCCAATTTCAGAAGGTTAGTAATTCAGTTTATCGTTTTTCTTTTTTTTTTTTTTGAGGTGGAGGGAGATGGGGAGAGAGAGAATCTGAAGCAGGTTCCGTGCTGAGCATGGAGCGTAGTATCTACTTGGCAGTTCACGGGGCCTTTGTGCCTCTTGCAGAAAGCCTGGCTTGGAGCCTCCCCCGAGAGAGGCAGCCAGTCCCATGGTGGGCTTTGTTCCATGGTTGCTTTATTCTTGGTTGCCTTCTGTGATGGTTCATATAATGTGTCAAGGATGCCTGGCTCAACCTCATGACTGTGAGATCACGACCTGAGCTGAAATCGAGAGTTGGACACTTAACCAGCTGAGCCACCCAGGCACCCTAGTATTTCAATGTATTTTTATTTATTATTATTATTTTTTAATTTAGGTGCTTAAAAGTCTTTTTTTTTAAATGTTTATTTTGAGAGAGAGAAGAGAGAGAGTGAGCGAATGTATGAGTTGGGGCAGGGTAAAGAGGGAGAGAGAGAGAGAGAGAGAGAGAGAGAGAATCCCAAGCATTAAATTATGACCTGAGCCAAAATCAAGAGTTGGGCACTTAACTGACAGGTGTCGTAAGGTGCATCTGATGCCTGAACAGGTACACCCTGGACCCTCAAATTAAAAGCCTGATGCTCTACCGATGGAGCTACCCAGGCTCAATTTGTTTTTAAAGCACAATGAGAAATTAACAAACAATGTCTGCAGATTGATTTTGGCCGTGGATTGCCGGTTTATAACCTGTACTGGTAATCAGCATTACTGCACACAGGACTGTCCAGAGCAGTGTTCGTAACCTTGTTCTGCAGTGGACCAAGTGTGCAGTGGCAGTGTAGGGAAGCCTGTGCGTCTCTTCTCAGGATAATGTCATTTAAGTGCATTAAAAATATATAGGGTTACAAAAAAAGTTAATTGTACTGAAATGTAATTATCAAAATATTTTTTAAAAGCTAAATTTGTGACATATGTGCATTTTTATTAGTGCATTAAATAGCATGGTCTGCTAGGAGGTCTGTTAATTACCATGGTTTTTATGTACTGTGAGAAATGATATCTTGAGATAGCAAACAATTGTAAAGTAATATTAAAGTACCTGGTATCTATAGGTGGCAAGGTCACGGGTATTCCCAGCCCTGCTCTGTTTTGTGCCTACATTCGTAATTGAAGATAATGGTAAATTTCAACTAGTAGTGAAAGCAGAGATGTCATTTTGTCCCCCATCTATTTTTAAGAACCCCTAGCAAATCTCAGGTTAAGAACCCTTGGTCTAAAATGATCTATAGGCTACTTAATAGTAGTGTAAGGGTAGTAGTACAGTGTTATCGAGTACAGTTAAGTCATCATCTTACAGGTTATTTTTGTCTCTACAGTTAACTTTGTGGTTACTGAATTTGATTCTCTTTTTCCTTAGAACGTTATCATTTGTCTTACAAGATTGTGCGAACAGATAGTCGCCTGGTACGCAGCATTCTGACAGCCCATGGATTTCATGAAGTAAGCTCATTTTTACTACCTCACCTGATCTTTAAAACTGAAAAATCCTGGACGTCCAACCTGACTACCAGTTAATAGAAAGCTCTAGAAAGTACTTGGGATCTATGCTTAGTGATGATGCAGAGCTTGTGTTGAATTTCTGAGCGTGTTTGTTGGCTTCTCCTTGAAATGCATGGACGGCATTTTCACAAGATTCCTTCCCCCCGCCTCTGCCTGCCTTTCTCTCTCTCTGTCTCTGAAACCAAAAAACCCCAAACCATTTTCTTGCTATGATTTTAGGCTTAGGGTAGAGATAGAGCTGCCCATAGGGAATGGTCTGATACTGAATTAAGATTCTTTGATTGCAAGCAACAGAAGTGGATTCTGCCAAACTTCAGCCAAAAGGGGGCACCTGGGTGGCTCATTCGGGTAAGCGTCCAACTTGAGCTCAGGTCATGATCTCACGTTCTGTGCGTTCAAGCCCCACATCGGGCTCTGTGCTGATAGCTTGGAGCCTGAAGCCTACTTCTGATTCTGTGTCTCCCTCTCTCTCTGCCCCTGCCCTGCTCATTCTCTCTCTCTCTCAAAAATAAATAAATGTTTAAAAAAATTTTTAAAAAGGATTTGTGGGTAAGTTTTGTACAGGATGGGTAGCAGAGTCAGAGGAAGAGGAGAAAAGGCAGGCCTTTGTAAGGAGAGAGATTAGAACAACCCCAGGGATCTGGGAATAGGGATCTTTGGGATTGTCTCTTCAAGGCCACTGCCATAGAAGTGACTCAGCTCCATTCATTGTCATTGTGCCTTTCTCCGCTGAAGACTCATGTTATGGAGATCATATGACTAGTCCAGGTTGGGTCATGGACATACTTCTTGTGAGGGGGTCGGGGGGTACCTGGCAGTCTTTAAAAATCAAATAGTATGTTATTCCCAAAGAAAATTGGGAAAATTGGGATATTGATATTAAAAGGGACAGGTAAAAATGCTGGACAGATTAACACTGTAGATAATTTGACATAATTTGATAAGTGTCTGGTTGCTAGCTCCTTATCTTAGGTTGAGGTCTGAAACAGACGTTTTGAGAAAGTTCTGATACTAGCCTGTATCCTGTCTTGTTTTATCTCTGGGGCCTAACATGGCACCTCTCACATCACAGCCACAGGCTACATAATTGTTGAATGAATAGACAAATGAATAGACAAAATTATTCTTATGAGTAAATGAATGATATCCTAACTTGGTTTGCTATGGCTTTAGTCCCGATCAAGCACTCTATCTGGCGTCTGTGAGGACCCAAGGATGCTCTGAGATGGGAGTTGTGGCTTGGAGCCCTCTGCTCATACTTTGACATGTGAGAATGTTAAAAGACATCAGAGACTTCTATAGAAGGATTCATTTATTCTGCTTTTTGTATCTGGGATTTGCCCAACTATCCCATCCTTTACAGTTGATCATCTGTTTTTTTCATACTCTGCTTTTGTTTTACTAGGTTTAAATACTAACTAGGCACTATGCTCTCTAGGTGAAAAATTTCCTTGGCCTTTCTTGCCATCTCTTTCTGGAGAGAGGCTGTCTCTGATGTTTTTATATCTTTTTATCTGCCCTCAGGTGCACCCAAGCAGCACTGACTATAACCTGATGTGGACAGGATCCCACCTGAAGCCCTTCCTACTTCGCACCCTCTCTGAAGCACAAAAGGTTAATCACTTTCCCAGGTAATGCTCTTGTAGCCGCTTTGCTCCATTTAAAGGTACTTGACATTGGGCATGTAGCCAGGAGAGATAATTAATGTCCTTAAAAAAAGAAGTCTGTGATACAGGGCAGCAGTATGCAAATCAAACCGAGGTGTTCATGTCCATAAACGTATATTATATGAAGCCTCTCCAAGGACTGTGTAGACCTAGATGGTTCTAAAGGAGACTGTTTCTAGATTGCAAATCCCATAGGTTCTCTTTTCTAAAATTGAGCAGCTTGAGAGCCTCTTGTGTGGATGTGTCCTCCCTCCCTCACCTCCTTTTTCCAGTTACTGTTCTTCCCTTTTATAAAACAATGGCCCTCTTAGAATCTTGACATGGTTCATTGTCCTTGGGTGCATACATTTCCAGGGTTCCAAACAAAACCCTTCCCCCCCCCGCAAAAAGTAATGTTGAATTGAATTCTGGTAATGACACATTATTTTTTCTTGATGGTGATTTCCATTTCATTGCTTTTCATAATCAAGTTGTCAGTGGATAGGCCATTAATTTTAATTTTTAGTGGTAGATCATCTTGTGACTTTTTTTTTTTTTTAATGTTTATTCATTTTTGAGAGCAGAGAAGACAGCATGAGCAGGGGGTGGGCAGAGAGAGAGGGAGACACAGAATCCAAAGCAGGCTCCAGGCTCTGAACTGTCAGCACAGAGCCCGATGTGGGGCTTGAATCCATGAACTGTGAGATCGTGACCTGAGCTGAAGTCAGATGCTTAACTGACTGAGCCACCCAGGCATCCCTGTCTTGTGACTTTTGACACAGAATTAGGAAGGAGTTGAAAGAATTGAGTGCCAGTGGCATAGAAAACTCCTTCCAGTTGCATTTTTTTTTAACTTTTTTTTTTTTTTAAATTTCTGAGAGAGAGAGACAGCATGAGCAGGGGAGGGTCAGAGAGCGGGAGATACAGAATCCGAAACAGGCTCCAGACTCTGAGCTAGCTGTTAGCACAGAGCCTGACATGGGACTCGAACCCACAAACTGTGAGATCATGACCTGAGCTGAAGTCAGATGCTTAACCAACTGAGCCACCCAGGCGCCCCGTCCAGTTGCATTTTTAATGGCAGCCTAGAGAGGCAATACTGCCTGGTGGCCAGGGGCATAGGCTCTATAACCAGTTACCTGGACCCAGATTCCAGTTTTGCCAAGCGACCGTGGTAACAAGACCTTTCTGCACATCATTTTCCTCATCAGTAAAAAGATGTTGCTAATGATCCACACTTGACAGGACCGTTGTGAGGATTTAATATGTCGAGATATCAGCTATTTAGAACAGTGCTTGCTTGTTACATAGTGAACCCTATAGAAGTGTTAGCTGTTGTTTTTTGTGACCAAAGTTTCTTAGTGTTTTTATGTGTCTTTGAAGAAGAAAATAGGAGTAAAACTGAGGCTGAAACCTACCTTATTCCGGCAGTCTCACTCAACCATGGAGAGACAGATAGATGCCCTTACAGAGAAGAGGGAAACAAAACTTACCCAGTGAAGAGAAGGAAGTTCAGTACAACTTTTTTTATTTGGACTGTGGTTACGTTTTAATTTATCTTGTTAATTTTAGAACTTAAGTCCTAGTTACTCATTTATGCTAACAGGTTTTATTTTCAGTTATGTCCTATGCTTTTCTCATTTTTATCTAATGAAGTTTCTTTCTTAAGTTTTCAATCCTCTTATATCTTGTCACTATGTGTAAATACCTGGCCCATGTCAAGTAATTGCCTCATAATCTTGCATAAATGTGTGTTTTAAGTGTTTATAACAAGTTCCAGTTTTATGTGTCTGCTTCATTTGCAGGGCGTAACTTAGACCTTATTTATCTTCCTACATGTCTAGAAGATGTGGATTTGATATTCTAAATGTGTGACTAGATGGTTGAAGGGAATCAGATACATCGATCTTAAGTAGGCAGTTATATAAATTTTATTTTTTTAATGTTTTATTTATTTTTGAGAGAGAGAGAGAGAAAGAGAGGGAATGAGCCAGGGAGGATCAGAGAGAGAGGTAGACAGAACCCATGAAGCAGGCTCCAGGCTCTGAGCTGTCAGCACAGAGCCTGATGCAGGGCTTGAACCCATGAACCACGGGATCATGACCTGAGCTGAAGTCAGATGCTTAACCGACTGAGTCACCCAGGCGCCCATTAAGTAGGCATTTAAAGAGTCCTTGAAAAATAGCCACACTGGAGTTTGCATTCCTGATTCATGTTTGTAGTATATTATTCATTTTAATGGTTTTTGAAGTACTGCTGTAGGTATATAGGAATTCTATTTCCATTTAGAATTAAACAGTCAGCACTAATAAATTCGAACTTCTGTTTTCTTGAGTATTCCTTGAATGTGGTGTTCTTGTGTGTTCGAGCACATTCATAACCCATCACCTAAATGCACTATGCTTTGTGGCTTCTGTGGCTCAGTCTCACATGGTTTTAATCCAAAGACTTAAATTCATGTGCAAGAGGCATTCAGGCACTTAAAATGTTTCAGTATTATTATGAGCTTTCTTAATATGATTTTTTAACTTTTTACTTTAAGTAATTTTAGACTTTTAGAAAAGTTGCAAAAATAATAGTTACTAAATATCCTTTACCCAGTTCTTCTAACATTAATATCTGTTATAACCATGGCATAATTTATCAGAATGGAGACATTAACCTCGGTATACTATGCATTTTAATAAAAATTCATATAATTATGGTGTCTTGATAAATTGTGTACTAGGGTAGTTGCCGTGATAATCAGTCCAGTGTAGGCAGTTTATAGCCTAATGATCATACGAAATTGGAAAATCTTGCATATTAACTCATATGCAGGTTTTGTTGTAGGAGGAGGTATGGTGATGTAAGAGTGGCAAGCATGAAGTGTGTTCTGTTAGGCTAAGCCCTTCTTTGGGGGATGCGTCATGGAAGAAAAGCAAGGGCGATTGAGGGATCATGCCTGGAGTGTGAAGGAGGCTTCTGGGGTGCTGGGAATGTTCTGTATTTAGTCTGGGTGGTGCTCCCACAGGGACCAAAATTCATCACGCCCTGCATTTGTGATTTGCATGCTTCTCTGTATATATGTTACCTTCAGTAAAAAGTATATTTTAAAAAGTGAAACATATACTGACAGAATATTTGACACTTCTTTCTTTGACACTATTTTAAAAATGTATAGGGGGCCTTGGAATCCTGAAGTTATTTTGATTCCCTTGACTATACTTAAAAGGGTAGCATTAGAATTTTGTTTTAAAGTAAGATTTATTATTCGTTGGCTCATTTGGGACAATTTAAATTTTTGATGAAAACTCTTAGATGCCGACTAAAGGATACATAGTTTCCCAAAATTTGTATTGGGGGAGGATATTAAGCAAACGGATTTGGAGACCACTAGGATTGGGCCCGTGTAGGAGAATGCATTCTTTCTCTTGTCCTCTCGTCAGTGTTTCTGATGATAAACATCACTGGGGATACTGTTTGAAAATATGCACTCATAGGTCCCATTGCAGATTCATGGAATTATCATACCCAGGGAAGGTGTGTATTTAAAAAGTACCTTCTAGGTGCTTAATCTTTCTAGGTAAGTATATACCTAGAAAGTTATATATTTAAAAAGCAGTGAGGATGGGGTGCCTGGGTGGCTCAGTTGGTTAAGCGTCTGACTATTGATTTCCACTCAGGTTATGATCTCACAGTTTCATGAGTTTGTGCCCCACATAAGCTCTGTGCTGACTGCGTGGAGCCTGGTTGAGATTCTCTCTCTTTCTCTGTCCCTCCCCTGCTTGCACTCTGGCTCTCTCAAAATAAATTAACTTAAAAAAAAAAAAAGGTGGTGAAGTGATTTATATCTGGAAGGTTTGGAAATTGCTGTTCTAGGTTAAATCAGTATTATTGTGTAGACCATCTGTACTAAAATCACCTGGGACACTTGTAGCAAATGCAGAATCCTAGACTTTATCCCATAATTTTGAGATGTGGGGCCTATGAACAATAATTTTAAAGAAACCTTCTAGATGATTCTTACCTAAATTTAAGGTACCTCTGCTCTATATTTATGAAGAGGATGATGGGTAAGAAAGAAGTATTTGTGAAACCTCCACTTGGCAAAGCCACCTTTGAATTTAAGAAATTCTAGTGAAAAATCAGACCTGAGAAATAGACACAGTAAGTTTTTAGTGGTTACAGTAAAGGTTCTTCGATGGTTTTTAAATAGTGAAACAAACAATGAGTGGAAGCCAGTAGTGGAAGTCATCAGTCCAGTTGAGGCTAACTGACGTGCTCCAGAATGTACTTCCTGGTAGCTGGCAATTATTGCCCGAAGTTTACGGTGATCATTTTTTTTGCTTGTCTTTAAAATTTTATCTCTTGCACATCCATCTTTTAATGATGTAAATGTAGTTATCAGTGGGATTCTTAACCTAGTGATCTGGTACTTTACTACAATAGGATCATTGTAGTCTAACATTAATGTCTATCTTGGCCACTATGTAAGAGAAACATATCAGACCCATAGGTACTTGTTTTACTAGTGATGATGCAAATTCCATGTAATTCTAGAAGAGACTGGACAGTTAGTGCCTTGGCATTAGGCCTGTAAATATGGATAAGGTAGCCACATCTTCTGTTTTCCTGAACGGTCCTGTTTTCAAGAATGCTAACCTTTTTTCAGGACGTGTTTCTCAGAAGGTCATACACTCTAGGTATCTTTGTGTAAAAATTCCCAGAATGCTTTGGGTTTGTACTTGTTAGTTGGTGTACTAGTGTGTTTTTATTATTTGGGTAATCCAGGTTTTTTTGTACTATTAAAGAATTATGATTCAATTAACATAAAACACCAAGTGTTCCTAAAATGTTTCGTAATGATTTTTAGCAGTGAATAGTCACAGGTGGCTGAGGAAGCTTTATGAAGCTAGAATTTATTTGATGTATTTGGCTTCTGGACCCTGAAACTTTGAATATATTTATCAAAAGCCAAACTTAGAACACAGTCTTTTTTGTTTGTTTATATTTAAAGTATGTTTTAGAATAGATTTAATACTCATAAATCCCATCAAAACCCGTTTGGCAAAAAGAACCAGATTTAAATGTAAAAGCTAAAACTGTAAAACTTCTAGAAGAAAATACAGGAGAAAGTCTCCATGCTCTTGGATTTGGTAAAGAGTTCTTAGATCTAACAGTAAATGCACAATCTGTAAGAGAAAAATGTTGATGAAATTGACTTCCTGAAAATTTAAAATGTCTGGTCTTTGAAAGACACTGTTAACAAAATGAAAAGGTAAGCCACAGACTGGGAGAAAATATTTGCAAAATACATATCTGACAAAGAATTTGTATCCAGAATGCATAATAAACTCTCAAAACTGAATAATAAGCAACACCCCCCCTTTTTTTAAATGGGCCAAAAATATTTGAACAGATGCTCACCAAGAAAGACAGACACAAAAAGATGTTCCACATCAATAGTCACTAATGGAATGTGAATTAAAATCACATGAGATGGGGCTCCTGGGTGGCTCATTCGGTTAAGCATCTGACTCTTGATTTCAGTTTTAGTCATGATCTCACGGCTTGTGGGTTCAGGCTTCACATCGGACTCTGCTCTGACAGTGTGGAGCCTTCTTAGGATTCTCTCTCTTCCCCCCGCCCCCCACCGTCTCTGCCCTTCCCTTGCTTGTACTTTCTGTCTCTCAAAAATAAATAAAACTTAAAAAGAAATCGCACACATGAGGTACTACTGACTACCCATTGGAATGGCTAAAAACAAAACAAAAACACCAGACAAGTGCTTGTCAGAATACAGCACAACTGGAGTCCTGAAACTTTGCCAGTGGAAAAGATAAAACAGTACAGCCACTTTGGATAACAGTCTGGCAGTTTCTTATAAAGTTAAATATATAATCACACATGTATTGGTTTTAAAATGTGTCTGCAAATTCCTTGACCTGGCCTTCAAATGGTTGAGCTAATTTCTGTGTTCTTGGAAGTGAGCTGGACTTTATAATTTCTTTTTTTTATTTTTAAGTTTGTTTAGGAGGGGAAGGGACAGAGAGCGAGAAAGAGAATCCCAAGCAGGCATGACACTATTAGTGGGGACCCCAGTGCAGGGCTTGAACTCATGAACTGTGAGATCGTGACCAGAGCTGAAACCAAGAGTTAGATGCTTAATTGACTGAGCACCCAGGCACCCCTGGACTTTGTAACTTGTAATGAATAGAACGTGGCAGACGTGACATTGTGTCACTTTTGAGACCAGGTCATTAAAGTCACTGCAGCTTTGTCCTTGTCCCTTTCCCTCTCGAGTCACCTGATCTAGGAGAAACCAGCTGTCATGTCACAAAGACACTCGATTAGCCTTACAGAAACATTCATGTGTTTATAAAGTGGGTTTGGCTGGTTGGGTGACTGGAAGGCTCTTGCAGCCACCACAGAGACGTGGGGTGACTTTTTGGGATGTTGGAACTGTTTGTGGTGATGGTTACATAATGGGCATTTGTTTGTTCAAACTCCTAGAGTTACACACTAGAGAGGGTGGATTTTACTGTATGCAAATTCTACCTTGATGAATAAATCTGACCAGAGAAATCCATTGTTAATCTTTGGAGTTGACAGAGTGATAGATTTGAGATGTAGTACTGTCCTCAGTGACTGCTCCAGAACGGTGAACCGTAAACTCCTTAGGATGCGATAACATGGGAAAACCTCTGAGTCATGGTTGGGTGAAATGGAAAACCTTTTATGATTTTTAGGTCATATGAACTAACCCGGAAGGACCGACTGTACAAAAACATCATTCGAATGCAGCATACGCATGGATTCAAGGCTTTTCACATCCTCCCTCAGACCTTTCTTCTGCCAGCTGAGTATGCGGAATTTTGTAGTAAGTGCCTGGCTGGGAAGGCCCCGATCATCGGCACCTGAACTTGGGGCAGTCTTACTCCAAGGTTTACCTCCAGTCAGTAGCTAATGAAGGCTTTTCAAGTCCTTAAAAAGTTGTGCTTCTTTAGTGAAACAGCTAGAGAGAGAACTTTAAAACTTTTTTTATTCTGATTATGTACCTGTATGTTTATTTTTAGTAAGCTCGTCGCTGTCCTTTCTGTAAGGACACATTGGTGTCATACACACGTGCCCCTGTTGGGTACAAAAAATCTCTTTATTGGCAAGACTTAGTGCCTGTGTAAGAAAGTATATACTTCTGCATTTGAATTATATATGCTTCCTTTTGGGTGTCTGTTTTCCTCTTGCCATTTAGGGTAATATTTCTGTCACCTTAATGTCTGGACTTGTGTGAGTTAACGTTCTTTGAGGTTCAAGTATCACGCATTTTTTAGTGTGAGGGTTTAGAGGTACCAGTTAGTCACGCCCTCCTTGGCGTTCAGGAGAATTGTAGAAACATGGTGTTCACCAAGTGGGGAACTAAATGTCAGCCATCTTGTTGGTAAAGCTAGACGGGGACCTGTGGCCTGCACCCCTTTCTCAGTGGGCTCCTTACTTCTTTTGCCATGAAGTGAACTATCTTCCCAGGCCCAAGGATGAAATGGGCCATTTAAGGCTTTCTTCCCTGGGGGCAGAGCCTGGGTCAGTAGGCGTGGTGCACAGAAGAGACGTGAGTAGAGAAGGCGTGAGGCAGGTCTTTTGTGAGAGACCACATAGTAGTAATAATATGAGCCAACATGGAACAAATATTTCCTCTCTGTTAAGCCCTGTTCGAAGTGGCATTTCCACTCTGAAGTAGGCACTGCTGTTATTCCCAGGTTTACAGATGAGATGAAGGTACTGCGAGGTCAGGAACTTTCCGTAAGTCAGGCAAGTTGCAAGTGGTGGTGTCAGGTTCACACTTTGAGGTTTGGCTTTAGAGGCCGTACTCCTCACCACTGGGCCTTATTGCTTAGACACTGGGCAGTGTGCACACGCTGTTCATTTCCCAGTATCACTGGTGGGACAGGATCAGGGAGGACTGACACATAGCTCTCTTTCTTCTCAGTAAGTCTAAGAGAGAGACTTTTCCTGCCTTACGGGTAGAGGAAGCATGAAGAGAGGAAGAGAAAGTTCTCTCCAGACTTCCTGACCTTTGATTTTCTTAACCTGTAAGACTGAACAGTCTGGTCTAGCTGCCCAGTGCGGGGTTCGTCCTCTGGGACTTCCGTTGTCAGGATCTCCTGCTTCTACCCTGGTGAGGCCTTTTCTTTGATAGCTCCTGTTTCAATGGGACGCTTGATGGTTCAGTGTTGGCCCACAGTAGGCTCTGGAATGGGTCAGAAGAGACTATTAATTGAATGAATTAAGTTCAAAGCTATATTGGACTTAAAGCTGAAAACTTAACAGCTTAGAATTTTTGTTATGTCACTTTAGCCAAGTTCCTTAAACCACTCCGTGCCTTAGCTTCCTCCTCTGTTAAACGGGTTTATTACTAGTACTGACCTTATAGTGTTGCTGGGATGTTTAAATAGGTTAATACATGGAAAGCACTTGAAGTGGCACCTGATAGGTGTTTAATAATTGTTCAGTGTTACTCCCTTTTTCAAGTGACGTCGAGATGTATTGTTACATAATGAAAGTAAAAGATTATGCGATAAGCCAACATGATAGCATAAAAATACTTCAACTAACGTGTTAGCACCATGACCCAGATGTGAAAACTCCTCCTGTTAAAGTCTACAGTAATTCCCTATTAAAGTCTACAGGAATCTGAGATGAAAATTCCCTTTGTCCTCTCTCTGCTATTTCTTATTCTGCTGTTTTCCCTTTGGAGGCAGGCTGGGGGTGGGGATGCTCGTTCAGATGACTGGATAGAGTTAGGATTCCTCCATCAGTTCAAGTATGACCTGTCTTTCAGTAGGATTGCTTCTTTAGTGTATTATAGAAACTCATATGTGCTCTACTTTTTAACAAAAATGACTTCAAAAGGTCAATAGAACACATAGAATTAATATAGTCATAACTCAGAGCCACCACATTTAGACCCAGGACAGCTACTGTAGGCAAATGGCGTTCCTCAGTCCCCCAAGCAAATCACTTGATGATGTTATCACCAAAGACCCACAGCAGGCACCCACCGTGTTTGTGGAAAAGGGGGGAGAGGGAAGACATGATAGTCAAGAGGAGTCCTCTTGGATTCAGTCTTGCCAGGACGCCAGTCATTCTTTGCCGGTTGTGCAGAGTCCGTGACCTCTAAGCTAAAATTCATTTGGGGGAGATCCAACATCGTTAGGTTAGTTGTGTTGCTAAAGTTACATATTAGGAGAGAAACCCGCCTATTTGTACTACTTTCTCTTTCAAAGAGACATTCCCCTTCTCCATGAAGTCTGTTTTAAGTTCCTCTCTTCCTTTGGTGTCCACCTAGCACAATCCAGCCCAGAAATTCCATTTTCTCCATGACTCTTGTGTTCCTGTGCTTCATTGCTCACTTGACTGTGAGCAATAGGAGATTTTTGAGAAGGAAAGGAACACAGGTTCACCATTAGAAAAATCACTGTGTGACATGAATTGGAGGGAGCAAGAGGCGGAACACAGTGGTCACTTGGAAGGTTATTGCAGTAACCAGATAAGTGTAGTTGAACTGAACTAGGTAGCTGGAATGGAAAAGAGGGAGTGAAAGAGTGGTAGACTAATAAGCAGAGTGTACCATCTGGTTTTAAGTAGTGAGGCAAGGGTCAAAGATGGCTCCAGAGGTGTGAATCTGAGAAGTTAAGAAGCTAAGAAGCACATCAGGGAGTGTAACCAGGACTGTAAAGGAAGAGCTATTAAAAGGGACGAGGAGTGTGAAATTTGAGAGCAGGTGTGGATTTGAGATGCCTACAGGCTTCCATGTGCTGATTTGCAGGCAGTTGTAAAGGCAGGAGATTTAAGTTCTGGCAGTAGATACTGGAAATTGCAGGTATGGAGGTAGATGTGATCCTGAGGGAGAGAAAAAGAGAAGAAACACCCCAGAGAGGAGAGAGAGCTTGACGATAGGAGCTAAGGAATGGGGTCCCAGAGGAGACAGGAGAAGGTTAAATTAAGAACAGACACATGGAAAGATGCTCAACATCACTCATCATCAGGGAAGTGCAAATCAAAACCACAATGAGATGTCATCTCACACCTGTCAGAGTGGCTGGTATTTAAAGGACCAGAAATAACAGGAATTGGCAAGGATGTGGAGGAAAGGGAGCCCATGCGCATTGTTGGTGGGAATGTAAATTGGTGCAGCTACCATGAAAAATGTTGTGGAGGTTCCTGAAAAAATTCAAATGGAAATATCATATGACCTGGCAATTCTACTTCTCAGTATTTACCAGGAGAAAGTGAAAGCACTAATTCAAAAAGATACCTGCACTTCTGTGTTTATTGCTTCATTATTTACAGTAGCCAAAACATGGAAGCAACCCAAGTGTCCATCCACAGATGACAGATAAAGATGTGGTACATACACACAATGGAATATTACTCAGGCAAAGGAAGAATGAAATCTTGTCATTCATGACAACATGGATGGACCCAGAGGGTCTTGTACTATGTGAAATAAGTTAGACAGAGAAAGACAAAAACCATACGACTTCACTTATATGTGGAATCTTAAATAAACAAAAATGAAAACAGAAAAAAGACTCATCAATATGAAGAACAGACTGGTGGCTGGCAGAGGGGAGGTGGGTGGGAAGGATGGGTGACATAGATGTAGGGGATTCACAGATACAAGCTTCCAGTTATAAATAAGTCACAGGGATGAAAAGTACAGTGTAGGGCATGTGGTCAGTAATATTGTAATAACTGTGTGGTGACACATGGTAACTACCCTCATTGAGGTACTTTATTATGTATATAAATGTTGAACCACTGTATCATATATAAAAAAAGTAAGGGGCTCCTTTTAATCACTTGTAAATTATTGTCCTCCTGTGCCACTTGCACATGGTTTGATTTAAGATGGTTTTTTTTCTTACAATCTAAGAGAAATCACTTAAGGAAATACATCATTTTAGGTGATGCAGTGTTTGACTCATATTGGCCCTCTGCAATGTGAGCCTCTGAGGTCCTTTGGTCAATGGAGGCGAGAATTTCAAGATTCATGATGGCTGTTTTGCGACAGTAATAAACTAATATCAGATAGTTGCCTTATTTTGTTTTCATCCTCTCATTCAAGAAAGAGGGGAAATGGTGGAAGAAATATGTAACTTTGCTGCCTCCTCCCCCCACTCCATTTTTGTTTGAAACTAGTTAAAAAATGCAGCTTATTTTAGCTGAGCTGCCCTTCACTTAAAAACCTGGAAAATTCTTTGGGTATCTGAGTAGTTAACCATTGTTGAAATTTAAGATGACAGATTCTTGTCCTTTCTTTCTCCTTGTTCTCTCTCCCCCTTTTAATCTCCCAATATTTTGAACAGATTCATATTCAAAGGACCGGGGACCTTGGATAGTAAAACCAGTGGCCTCTTCTAGGGGACGGGGCGTCTACCTGATCAACAATGTAAGTATGCAGCAGGTGGCATGCTCTTCTGCTGCTGCTGCTTCTTTTTTTTTGTTGTTTTTTAAAGTAAGGTCTGTACCCAAACAGGGGGCTTGAACTCATGAACACAAGATCGAGAGTCACACGCTCTACCGACTGGTCCAGGCAGGTGCCCTGGCACCCTCTCTTCTTGGTTTTTCCCTGTTTCACCCTGCTACTAATATGCTTTTTTTTTTTTTTTCTTTTCTTTTTTTTAATGAAGAGTAAGTATTTCCTTCTGGAATCTGCATTTAGAAGTGTGTGAGATGAGGGTGGGTATGAGTTGGCATTATTCACCTTACTGTCAGTGACCTCTGTCAGTAACCTATGCCAACGGTTATCCTGTGGCTAAAAAGTCACTTGATCAAATGTTGGGGAAGAGCAACCTTTGGTATCCACAGAACCTTTCCTACTTTTAGCATATTGTGTCATATTAATTCCTCAGTGCAAAACATTAATTGGTAGGATATACATTGAGTTTCTCTTGGGACCAGAACTGTAGGTTCCTGCCCTCAAGGTCATTGAGAAAATTAACCTTGATGTGGTATGGCATTCTTGATGCTCTTTCTATATCTCCCCCACTCCTCCTCCTCCTGCCTCATCCTCTTCTTTTTTTCAAAAGTCATCAGTATCTTCACTCTTTGCAAAATCCTCATGAAAAGTTGTTTGTTAAGTCAAGTACATATACAGAGTATATGTGTTGCCGAAGCGAGCACCATATACAGAGAAAATAAAATAAAATTTCAACCCCAGTCTCACTTCTTGTTCTTTTAACACTAGTTTTTAACCTAATATAGTTGATTTATGTTTCTTTTCTTAATTTTTCATTGTGTTTAATTCCCATTTTGATAATGTATCGCCCTCACATCACCATCTACCCTTCCTTCCACATTCCATTACTGATTACTTTTTATATTTCACTGTTTATAAAATTATGTTATCTTCAATAACTGTGATTCCATTTCTCTGCTTTATCTTTAAGTTGAGTAAAAAAAATTAATTAAACTGAGTAGAAGCTTCACAGCATTGAATTCTGAAATTTCATTAGTATTTCATTCTGGGTCTTTTCTCATTCTTCTAGACATTTGGTCAGCCTGGAAACTAGTGTTTTTCTTTGTTTCAGGGAAAATTATCCATTTTTTGTCTTTGTCTCTGCTTCTAGAACTGTGTTTTGAGGCATTTTGGGTCTTTCCTTTTTGTCAATTTCTCTCTGATTTTAAATTCTTGGCTTTCCCCCATCTTGATCTTTCTGGATCGCCAGTTTGAGCTTTATCCATTTTAATGTTCATTTTATCTACTGTATTTTTGTATTGGGTCTCATAGTTTGTAGAAACTTTTATTTTCCATTTTGCTTTTTTTTTTTAATAACAGCGTATAGTTGCTTAATGGATTAACGGATGCAGTTTGCCTGTCGGCCTTAGTAAGGATATCAGTTGAAAGTTTTTTAAAAGTTATCTTTTGTTTTGTGTATTTTCTTGGAGTTGCCCTTTTTTCCCTCCTGCTATTGGGTTTTCTCCGTTTCAGTGACCATAGGTGTTGAGTTGTTATTTGTGAACAAAAGACTAGACTGATTGAAAATGACAGCTAACCTGGGTTTCCGTATTGTCATGTAGGAGTAATTCCCTAGTAGTTTCTCCTGGACAGGAGGCTAACTCAGTTTTGTGCAAGGGCAAACTGTGTTGACTCACAGGCTGGTAAGTAGATGGGAATGAGGAGCACCCTTCTTCCTGTCCACCCCTGCCAAAATAGAGCTGGCTTTATCATGAATACAGAGGAAGATTTTGGTGATTTCTGCTCTGGTCAGCACTACGTCTCCCGTCTTTTCCTCTGTGTCTGTTGTAGGGATAGAGTGGCCTTAAATTCCACTCCTCTGTCCCATCTCTCTACCCACACAAGATGTCCTCCCCGTAGGTATCATCGTTAGGTTCTATCCTGAGGGCCAAGCTTTGGGTGTTGGAGGAGGGCCACTCAATTAATTAAGAATTAATTACCTGATTCTTGTTCTTCGGCCCGCTCCTGGACCGTGTTTCTTCACTGCCAGCTTGGAAATTCTCCGAGGCTCCTTGAGAAGATCACTCTCACCTCTGGTATTTTGCTTCTTCTGCTCTGGTTTCTCAACTTGATCCCATCTGCTTTCTATCTTTCAGGATTTCCTGAAACTTTTTGTCTCTTATTGGCTTCTTTAAATGTTTTCTAGCTTTGTTATTATTTCATTCTTTTAAAAATCTCTCCACTGTCCTTCCAGTGGGACTCTGGAAGGGAAGAAAGGGAAGTAGGTGTGTGTGTGTGGTCAAATACTCTTTTAAATTCCCCAGTTCTCTTTTTACATGGTCTGAGCTATTTCCTACACATGCAGAAACTAACTTTCTGAGAAGTCTTTCACACTGAGAAGTCCTTAAATTCAGTCTGGATGGAAAACTGTACAATAACTACTGATGGGCAGACCTTAAGTGCTACAGAATTATAGGGCCTGGTTCTGGTACAGCAGCTAATCCAGCCTGAGCCCCAGGCTACAAGTCCTGTTACCTGGCCCCGGGTCACTCTGGAGGCCCTTTTTTCCTGGACTCTCTTGTGACAGAAGGCCCTGGTCACATGCTTTGGATCTCTCTCTTCTCGTTCCTGTTCTGACCTTGGCGCCGAGGCTCCTGTCGGACAGCTTTTCCTTCAGCTCCGTGCCAGGAGCTCCAGTGTTGTTTGAATCCCATAGACGGCACTGGTTTGGGTTTGGGTTTTAGCTGCCAAATGGAATTGCTATTGAAAGTCAACTGTGGTACAAGTTTGCTTTTTATTTTCTTAGACATGAGTCAAAAAGAATAGGATCTATTTCCAGCTCATCTGGGACTTTTTTCTTTTGGAATGCTCTTTTGCCCTAGTGATTTGTTATTTTGAAATCAACATCATAAAGAATAGAAAGGCTAAACTTTCCTTGGTGGGGCTGAGAACCCCGTGCCCTAACTCTTCCCTGGAGGGAGTCCCTGAAAGAGGGTGACAACTCTTTAGAGAATGCACTTGGCAGGCTCTCCCCCTCCCTCCCACCTCTCCCTGGCTGAATCCCTAGAGACCCCTGCGTAGATCAAAGTACTTGGCGGGACCCTTTGCCTCCCTCCTCCCCCTCAGTGAGGCTTTGGAATGAGTCTGATTCTTTGAGGTATTTGGTGGAGGTGCCAGACAGAAGCCTGGGAAGATGCCAGCAGGCACCAGGGGGCCTGGCAACATGTGTACATGATGGGAAAATATTCCCATTTCACTCCCCAAACTGGAATTTTATCACCTTTCATTCGGACCTGCAAACCATGTAGTTAATACTCTTCTCTCTCTCCTTAGGCACAAGGCCTCACCATCCCCTCTTTTCCATACCTGGATCCTTTCCCATGGAATATGTGACCCATTAGCCAACTGGATGAAGTAACTCTTTCCAAGGCTGCTGCCTGCTTTCCCTTCAGATTTGAGGGGGAGGGGGTGGGAGAGCTCAGGCAGAGAGGGTCTGTGAGGAGCTGAACTGAAGCAAACCGGTGAGGGACTTGGGCGTGGGTGGAGTTAGGTGTGAGGGCCAAATGAAAATATCTTTCCCTGTCTTTCCCACTGGGGAGGGCCTTTTAATAAAAATTCCCAATAATAGTCATAACCTTTTGGAAAATGTCTGCAAATAACAACTTTTACCATTACAAGAACAGAATAAAGGACAGAAAAAGTGTTACTTTTATGAAATACCGGCGAGAGAAGTGTGAGCTCCTGCAGACGGAAGTATCTTGGCCAGTCAGCTACTATGGTCTCCTATTATGTGCTCTTTCGCTCTGGAAATCCAGACCAGAGGAGCAGAGCTCTGTGTCCTCCAGCTCCCTCAGGGACTAAGTGTTGTATTTTCCCATTTTAGTATATTCAAGTCGAGGAGGGAAAGATCTGGCATTTTCTGATTAAGGTATGAATTTGAGTATGGACGTCAAATCATTCTTCCTCGTCCTTCTTGCCTCACACATTATCTCATGTTAATGTTTTCTTTGGGATTTTGAAGTAACAGAAGAGTATTTAGTTGACTCTGTTTACTCTCTGTGTTTGTGAATATAATTCTGTATAGCTCTCTTGTTTCTGTTTGTTTGTATGTTGTTATCTTAAGTGCTCTCTGTTTTTTTCCTTGTTCGAGAAATATTTAGGGAGTCCTTGCCATGTGCCAGGTGCCACCACTCCTTAATACCTTTTGAGGAGTAGGGATTATCTTTTAATACTAACACTGATACTAAGCTAATGTATCTTCATTATAACTCGGTGCGTGGCTGTGAGCAGAAGGCCGTGTGGAGTGCTGTGACACAGGCTCTTGGGTTGTGGAACTTTGTAGAACCATAGAGGTGCTACTGGGTTTGCACTGAGAGTAATAACTGATATTTCTTGAGCATTTGATTTGTGCCAGCCCCTGCACCTTCCAAATATAGACGCGTAGTCTTTAGAAGAACCCCAGGAAGTAGTGACTGTTACTTCCTTGCTAAGTGGTAGAGTCAGGATTGTAACTCACGTCTAGCTGATTCCAGAGCATAACCCCCTTAACCGCTGTACCATTCTACCGTATAGTAACTTAACAGATAGCAGGAGATTTAGTCTTAAAGTCCATTTCGAAAAATGGATGTGTTTTTCCAACTTCCCCAACCCTTTAGATCTTGCTTCAGCGTACTTTGGAGGGCAGTTGGAGCTTGGAATTGAACTCGTTTGAAACGAGTCAGTTGGGGTTGGATGTAAAGGAAACAGCCTTGAAAATATCAAAAAGCTTTGATGAGTTGCTTCTTAGCAACTAATTTAATGTAACACTATAAAAAAAAACTATACCCGCACCCTTCTTTTCTTTGTCGAGGTTACAGTTGAATTCCTGGTGCAGGTAGAAATGAGAGGTTCAGACCATTGAACAAATATTCAAGTTACCTAAATAATATGCGAGATTATGTTGCGTCTCACTCGGGACAAATGTGTATGATGAGGGCGGGAAGAGAGGAAGTGGGCAAGGACAATAGATGTGTCATGGAATGAAGACCATCACGAGTGTAGCCTCTGGTTTGGAGGAAAGTTGGGTGGTCGCATATCTGCTGCAGCCTGGAGGTGTTACTCAGTGGGAAGAGGTCTGCAACTTTAATTTTAGGTTTGGAACACAGCCTTGAGGCTTGCTCCTTTATGCTGTGATTCATCAGTTCTTACACACTAACTTGACTCCAAATGGAGATGGTACTTGTGAGAAAGTGATCAGGAAATGTAAGGGAGTCTGGAAATGGTGTGGGTGCTCGAGTCCACGGGTATGAATCAGCACTGATTGCTGCCATGTCCGTGTGATGCAGGGAGAGGGGTTGTGAAAGCTGTGTTCTGAGTCTGCAACAGCATCAGTGGGAAACGAGAGGGAGTCTCTTTCTCTTGACTCTGGAGTTGCTCATCGTGGTTGCGTGTGATGTTACGGGCCACAAAATTATCCTTGTTGTATGTAGTGTTTGGGGGTAGTAAATGCACTGTTATAAAGACAGTCTTTTGAAATTGGGGAACAGTATTTTAGGTCAGAACTTGGGGGAAACGTGAAAAGTACTCAAGAGTTAAGCTTCCGAGGCTGACCGCCTGAGTTCAAATGCCCCTCTGTCACTGTGTGACATCTGTAATGTTTGGATGGTGCCATCCCTACCTCACAGGGTTGGGTGAGGATTAAGTGAAACAATACTTGTGAAAAACCAGAACAGTGCTGGACACACGGCAAATGTTCATTCAGTACATTTATTAAATTTTTTTTTCTGCAAATTTTAATAGTTATTTTTGTTGCCTCTCCTGTAGCTATCATCATTACAGTAATTACTATAGCCACTTCCCTTTTGGAGTCCTTTTGTCCTGCATAGATTTTGGTGGCTTCCAGCTGATTTTTCTGCCTTAATCTGATCTCACACAGAGTTGTGCTATTCCATATGTTTTACTCTTAACTACTTATTTAATCAAGAATCCATAATCATTTCCTGCTTCCTCCCATGTTCAGGCTAACTTACCGTAGTCAGGGGTTGGAATCCCTTTGCCAGTGGGGTCTCTCCCTCCTAATACTCGAACCATATCTTTTTATTATTCCCCGGTTCAGTCTTCTAACCTCAGGCCAGTGTATCTGCCTCCTTTCCTTTCTCCTGAACCTTGTGCCTACCATCTTTGCACAACAGCTTCTTTCCTCCCTACCATGTGCTCAGTAGCTCTCAACACTCACTTCTGCACCTCCTCTTCCACAACAGGCCTTCCCTGACTGACCCCACATAACTGGGCTGCACTTGTATTTTGCAGGCTCACGTCTTGCACTTGCAGATATGCTGCTTTGTGTTCTTTTAAATTATGTATTTTGGTTTGGGGTGCCTGGGTGGCTCAGTCGGTTGAGCGTCTGACCTCAGGTCATGATCTCGTAGATTGTGAGTTTGAGCTCCAAATCAGGCTCACTGCTGTCATGGCAGCGCCTGTTTCTAATCATCTGTTTCCCTCTCTCTGCCCTTCCCCCATTGGGACTCTCTCAAAAATAAATAAACATTAAAAAAATTCTATATTTTTCTGCCCGTTTACCTAAATACTAAACTCTTCAGAAGTAAGGATTAGGCTCTGTGAGGGCAGGGTTTGTATCTCTTCCTCATCACTGTATCCTAAGTACCTTATACAGTGTCCAACAATACTCATGATGACTTATTGTATTAACAACTCTTTTTCATTGAAAAACTCCTTAAAAGGGCTAGTTCTGTCTTGCTAGATAGTGGCTTAGGAAGTACAACTGAATGAATCAAGGAAACATCCATTCCATTTCCCAAATGCCAGGACCCATTGTGGAAAGATCTGTATGTTTTCTAAACAACTTAATGAAAGTCTTCACTTAAAAATAATGGTAGTATTTTAGGGGCACCTGGGTGGCTCAATTGGTTCAGCATCCGACTTCAGCTCGGGTCATGATCTCACAGTCCATGAGTTCGAGCCCCATGCCAGACTCTGGGCTGTCATGATGGCTCAGAGCCTGGAGCTTGCTTCAGATTCTGTGTCCCTCTCTCCCTGCCCCTCCCCCACTCATGCTCTGTTTCTCTCTCTCTCTCTCTCTCTCTCAAAAAAAAAATCAACATAAAAAATTAAAAATTAAAGAATAATGGTAGTATTTAAAATTTTCCATCATCCTTTACATTTGGGAGAAATCACTTCTTTATTTTTTAGGTAGCTTTTATTTTCTTGGCCTGTAACCATTTAATGTCATGTATATAAATCTTTAAAGCTGTTATGGCTCTATTTATTATGTGAGAAGTGCTGTGTAAATTTATTTTTTACCCCTACTGTAATTGGATACCCATAGTGTTTCTAAGTGTTATGTGGCCAGTTGAATATAGGGGTAGCTTGTCTTAAGAGTTTTAGTGTGCCATTTTATCATTTCTAAAAGGTCAAGAACTCTGTTCTCTTATTGTCAGTTAGGATTCCTTTGCATTTCTATCCTTTTATTCTTTCTCTTTACTCCATAGCCGAACCAGATTTCCCTGGAAGAGAACATCCTGGTCTCCCGTTACATTAACAACCCCCTGCTCATAGATGGTGAGTTGAGATTGGGCTGTTGACTGGCCTGGGCTACATCTTGCTAATTTTAAAACAGATTTTCACAGTCTACCCTAGTAAGTTCTTATAAAGCTAGTGTGAGGTTCTTGGCAGCTGTGGCCCCCAGAGATGAGGCTGGTGCTGTATGTACCTCGTGGGACTATTTTGACAATGAAATGAGAGAATAGGAAAGAAAATGCTTTATAGCACATTGATGTGAAAACTGCGGTACATGTATGTCAGCTCCCTTTCACATTTTATGGCAGTGTGTGTTTTGTGTATTGTCATTTAATGGATGCTTATATAAATATATAATTATTCTCACAAGGCAAAGTGGACTGCAGGCAATGTGCGTTTTGTTGGGAGAGAAAGATTATTCTTTCATATTTCTTTGTTTTGTTGTCTTGTTCATCTTATAACAGAAAACAAATGACCTGCATTTTTCCTGTGAACTCCAACATTTTTTTCTAGATTTCAAGTTTGATGTGCGCCTCTATGTGCTTGTGACCTCCTACGATCCCCTTGTCATCTATCTCTATGAAGAAGGGTTGGCTAGGTAAGAGACTTTTGGGGTGAAGGGGTGGTCATCAGAGTGAATCCATGGAAGAGTGTGTAAAGATCAGGCTGTTTCTTTCTGTCGTGTTCAACTCAGGAAAATAGAGTGCCCAGATGGATTTCAGATTACAGAAAATCAGGCGTGTGACTTCACAGCTGCACTTGCATCTCCACACAGGGGAACAAGCATCTGTGTAAGCACGCACCTTTACCAACAGGGCTCTAGGGTCACACTGTATTTTCATGCAATGGCAATTGTTATGGTGACCCTGGGGTATTAGGATAATTTGTCATTGTGTTTTACTACTCAACTAGAAAAAAAAAAATCCCCCAGTTATCACCTGTTATATACCAAACATTTATGTCAGTGCTCACGGGAGCCTTGCAGTTGATGCAGTTCTGCCGTTGGGGCCAGGGAACTTGGTCACTTTTTGGAGCGCTCCCAGCCAGATGGTGGTGGAGTGGGATTTGAACTCAGGGATCTGACTCCAGAGCTCATAGCCTGAGCTGTTTTTCATGCCTCTTGTATTTTGGGGGCATTAGCTGCTTCCCTCCCCCCAAGACCTCCCCCCACGCCCCCGCCACAAGTAATATGCTTTACAAGTGATTACCTATACATTATTTTCTCTTGAGGTACTTTTTAGGTTTTACGGTAAGGTGACTTACAAAATTAAGTTCAAGTTACAGTAATCTAAAAAATATCCCCCACAGCCACCAAATTTTACAGGTGATAATAGTTTCATAGGCCCTTTAAGCCATTTAAAATAAAGACATAACTTTGCTGTGCTAGTGTTCCTTTCTCCCGCAAACCTAGTATACGCAGCATATAATATATATTCACCAACTAGCTTACCCTGAAGTTCCTTTTTTTTTTTTTTAATTTTTTTAATGTTTTATTTATTTCTAGGAGAGAGAAAGAGAGAGACAGCGTGAGCCGGGGAGGGTCAGAGAGAGAGGGAGTCACAGACTCTGAAACAGCCTCCAGGCTCTGAGCTGGCAGTCAGCACAGAGCCCGACACGGGGCTCGAACCCACGAACCGCGAGATTATGACCTAAGCGAAAGTCGGATGCTTAACCGACTAAGCCACCCAGGCGCCCCACCCTGAAGTTCCTTTTATATGCATTGGCTTTACAGGGCACAGCAGAGTGCAAGGGGGGGGGGTTGCTTTGTATCTACATTCAGCCATGACAAGCTAAGAAGCATGGCCTGTATGTGTTTGTGTATTTTAGAAAATGCACTTGGAAGGTGGAAAATCCCGGTTTAAAAGAAGGCTACCTATTTAAGTTGAGGTGCAAGTACTCTGGAAACTGTCATTTTTGAACGCTATTTTATTTATTTATTTATTTATTTATTTATTTATTTATTTATTTATTTCTGAGAGAGAGAGACAGCAGGAATAAGGGAGGGTCAGAGAGAGACAGACACAGAATCCGAAACCGGCTCCAGGCTCTGAGCTGGCTGTCAGCACAGAGCCCAATGTGGGGCTCGAACCCACAAACCGTGAGGTCATGACCTGAGCCGAAGTCAGATGCCTAACTGACTGAGCCACCCAGGTGCCCCTAGAATGCTATTTTAATTATGTCATATACCTAAGTTCCTTGATGCGTCCTGTGACTTGGAGTCAGAGGGTGAGCCCGATTAACCAGCTTGCCCCTGGCTGAGCTGTGCCTTCCCTTCACCTCTAGGTGGCAGCGACAGCATTCATGAACATCGTTGTCTTCATAAACTGTCTTGAGTTTGAGCCTGAGGAACACTGGAGGCTCCTGAAGCTCCATGGTTCTGGACTCCTGTCCCTTGAATATTGAGGAGGAGGCACTAACATATTACTCACTTTTTAGGTAAAGGTCTGAGCCAGCATCTGAGTGCCACCTGTCTCGTAGCTCTGATCAGATTTTCATAGGCAGAAGCTTTCTGTGGTGCTTGTAGGCACATGTGTTCTCCTACTTTGAAGTACAGGTTTAAAAGCTGAGTCTCCACACTCTCTAGATTAAAAAGAAGGTAAGATATACACCTCACTTCCACTCACTGAATAAGGTGCTGGGGGTTTTCCATTTTGTAAACTAAGATGATCTGAGCTGTACTTCTTGTGTAGCATGAGCTTCTCCACTGCCTTCCCTCCCTCCCTCCTCACCCCATCTGGCCTCCTGTGTCCTTCTCAGGAGTTGATTACATCCTACCACAATTTGAACTTCTTGAGTAAGGAAAAGACCTCAAGGTTACACTCACTGTTTCTCAAGGATATCATACCAGCATGTTCGGCATATCATTCCCAAGACGTTACATTCACAGTATTAATAGCCCTTTCTCTTGGTAAAACTTGGCATAGCTTTAAAGCCTCAGTGGTTCAGATATGAATGAGAGCAATACCAACATTTATTATAGAATTTACTACAGACATGCGGGTGCTTTGGCTACTGGGTGTGTGTTGCAAGTCAGAATCCACTGATTGGAGTAACTCTTCTCTTGCTACTGGCAGGAACTGAGTGTGTGTATGTGTGGGTGGGTGTGTACTGTCTTTTAATGGATCCTTTTTATTTTTTTTTCCAGAATAATTTAGAAGACAGCTTTTTAAAAACTCAGACCAAATTGAACCAAATAATGGGAAATTTCAGGACTCTGTCACAGTTAAGCTAAAAATATGGGTGAATATAAAAATTACTTTAATGTGTATTTATTTATTTTTGAGAGAGAGAGACAGATAGACAATGCGAGTAGGGCAGAGAGAGGGAGACACAGAACTGAAGCAGGCTCCCAGCTCTGAGCTGTTAGCAGACATGGGGCTCGAACTTAGGAACTGCGAGATCATAACCTAAGCCGAAGTCAGATGCTTAACGGAGCGAGCCACCCAGGCGCCCCTAAAAGTATGGGTGAATATAAAAGCTTCACACAAGGACGGTGTAGTATGTCAGGCTATTAGCAAGTCTTGTGAGGCTACATTGCTCTGCACGATAACTTCCATGTGCCCGAGTTCCTGTGTCTTAACTCCCTGTGTATCTTGGCTTTCATCTGCTTCTTTTTAATCCTCAGAATCCGCTCAACTGTGTCACTACATTCAACAATAGTCTATAGCATCTCCAGATCTGCAGTCTCTAGTAATTTTGGGTCACGTGTGTTTTATGTAGACATTACTGAAGATAATCAGTTTGGGATGAGATCACTAGGCCGTTTTACTTCGAGGCTCAACAAGGAAAACCATAATTTTTCCTAAAGAGACAGCACTGGCAGCAGATATAATTGACTTCCGTTTTAGAAAAGAAGGGTCTTATCTCGTATCGCTTTTGTCTTGGGCCTCAAATTAATGCTTAGGTGACCTAAAGATTAAGTTCATTTCACGAGACTGTTTTGTGAAATAAATATTTTGTGTCAGTTCTTGACCTTTTTAAACTTATTAAGAAAAGACCAGAAATTGTTTCCTTTTAGAGTAATAATTTCCAGTTGTCCTTGTTGTTTTATTAACGCAGGAAAACTGTCCTTTTCTTATTTATGGGCAAAATATTGAGATGTTCAGAAAAAAATATGTCTTTCTGGTATTTGGGCCCAACATTTGCCCCAGAAGGTCCATCCTACTTTTGAGTTTGACAGATGTGTTCCTGCTTTGCTCCAGCAGGGGACACTCAGTTTCCAGAGAGAGGTGCCATTCCCTACCAAAATGGTGTAGATTCTCTTTCTTGTCAGAAGGGGAATCCAAAAAGACTTTGTCCTGGATTTTACAGTTTTAGGTGGATCCAGTATGTGGTCTAAATGATTTGACGAGGCCCTTTTTGAGATGGAGCTAATAGCCAGATTTTCACTGAAACCGGAAAAATAAAAAGTTAAAAAGAAATTAAAACAGAATGGACTTGAAAAGCAAATATGTTGTCTGAGGCCCAAAGATAGGTAGCACTCGCAATGTGGGGGAAGTGAAGGTGCCAGACCAGGGAATGGAGACTCCCATCCTCACTGGAGGTGGGAGGAGAGGACACTGAGAAGGCCCCAGTCGGGATCTGCCTTTTTTTCTGCCTCAGCCATATTATCCAGTGGAAATTCAGAAAAGACCCCAAAGCATTAGTAATGCCTTTCCCTCCCTCCCCACCCCCAGTTCCTTCTTCAGTAGCCTTCCTTGCTAATTAACACTGGCTCCGCAGGGATATTTACCTTTTCTCTGCTGGATTCCTGTGGTTTTAAAAGAATTCAGGTACTAGCTGGTTGCCAAGGAATTCAGATTACCTCACAGGCTGCACACTGTCCAGAGTCTCTGCCACAGCAGCGAGGGGGGTGGGGGGAATGAGGAGACAGCAACAAGGGGAAGAAAACTCTCTCCAGTGCTCATTGTCACCCTCCCTGGCAGGCCCTTGCTGTTTGTGAAGTTTGAGTCATTTCTGGCTCTGAAGACAGGGGATCAGGCTGGTAATCCCCTCCCAGACGGCTCTGTGGGGCGCTGCCTAGTCACTGCCCCACTTTGGCAGTCTCTCGGCTGCAGCTGGTTGACAGCAGATCAGAGAGCTCTTGGGCCTCTTGTTCTCTTCCATAAGATTTTTCTGGGTCAGGCCAGGATGAAATTCAGTGGCTCCTGGCAAGGCTGCCTGAGGTGTGTCTCTTCATCCTCCAGGCCTTTCTGGCTCCGAGTGGCTACACCTGCTGAAAGATAACTCCTGCGCCACAGCCGGGATCTCCTCAGGGCTGGCCTCCTCTTTCCCTTGTACATTTGGACTGAATGTGTGTTAGATTACGGGACTGTCGGACGCCTGGGTGGCTCAGTCGGTTAAGCGTCCGACTTCGGCTCAGGTCATGATCTCACGGTTTGTGGGTTCGAACCCCATGTCGGGCTGTGTGCTGACAGCCAGCTCAGAGCCTGGAGCCTGTTTCAGATTCTGTATCTCCCTCTCTCTCAGACCCTCCCCTGCTCATGCTCTCTTTCTCTCTCAGAAAAAAGTAAAAAACATTAAAAAAGAGATTATGGGGCTGTCAACGGGGAGGGACCAAGTGTCCTACATCCAGATTAGCCATGACTCTGGCTATGG